CTCACGGGTTAACATCTCCAATACAGTACAACCAAGGCTCCATATATCAGCAGCAAGGCCATAGCCTTGGTTTCTCAGATTTACTACCTATAATTACACAACTTATAATCAGAAAGACTATATATAATGTTAACCACAACGTCAATCATAAGTCAGCATTGATTCACACAACAAACATTTATTGATTCTAAGAGGAAGTGTAAAGCCAAACCTCTGGAGCCATCCAAAATGCAGTGCCTCTGCAAGATTTGACGTCGTTCAATTTAGTGGCCTGAAATCAACAAACCAGAAAAATTGTTTCAGAAAATTCACAACAATTTAAAAGTTAGTATAGGAAACAACATAGTTTTAGACAGAAGAAAACCTTAGCCAATCCAAAATCTGCAAGTTTCACGGATCCATTTGCATCCACTAATATATTCGCACATTTAATATCCCTTTTGATACAAGAAAAGAACAAAATTAAGGTTGGATAAAGTCATGTAATGGTATAGGGACTTTAGCATCAATTGCCAGTTTGATACCAAGCTCAACAAATGATGATAGAATAGGGATTGTAAGTAACCTTATCCCATAAAAAAATTAAAAGCAACTTCCTTCTTTAAATCATGAAAAACAAAAGAAATATAAGCATTTTTGTTGGCAATTAAAGCTTTATACTAATCTGAAGTTTTTGCTCTCAGCATGCTTAAAAAAAAAGAAATATAAGCTTTTTTGTTAGCAATTGATATGCATTCATTGGAAAGTGATATGACTTTGATGTTTAATATGCAGACATTTTACCTATGAATCACTTTTCGGTCATGAAGATACTTCAGTCCATGCAGAATCTGTCTTGTATAGAAAGAGACATGAGAATCTCTGAGGTGATACCTCTGATAGATACGTAAAAGGGAGCCTTTTGTCATTAGCTCAAGGAAGATATATAATTGTGACTCATCCTGCAACGCAAATAAAATTAAGAAAAAAAAGAGTTAGTACATAAATTCATAAAACTGTATTGTAGTTAGTTTCCAGTGCAATTTATAAGCAGCTAAATCAACCAATCAATGTGGAAAGCAAGAAATGATTACCTTATCAGTGCCATAATACTGAACTATGTTTTCATGTTCAAACTGACTTAAAAGTTCAATCTCCTGGAAATAAAATTTAAAAAATAAGAAATCAGCACAAGAATATGTATGTTTAAACAAAATGGAAAATAGAAGGTTTTGCAGAGGACATAAGAAAGGGCAACCCACCTGCTCAAGTTGGAAAATACTCTGCCTTTCTTGACTTCCTTGATCAAGCAATGAAACTTCTTTTAGGGCAAAAAAGAATCCATCACTGCAAGAAAATAAATGAATTAATTATAAAGAAAGCAATATTACTCCCAAAAAAATGAACACAAAAAGAGTTTATTTCACTATGTTTGGGCTGAGGGAAATGAGGGGAGGGGAGGGGAATGGAAGGATACACCCTCCCCTCATTTGGATAAGTAAATGAATTAAAAGAGAAAAAATAAAGAAAAGAGCTTCCTTCACCTCCCCTCCTTCATTCCCCTCAACCCAAACATACCACAAAGGATAAACATGATCACTGATCAGTAACAAGAACAGAGTCATGTAAAGTAAAAGAGAAAAGTGTCCTACAATTGGACTGACAAAAAAAAAATGCCGGTATGTACGAACACAACCCTTGCACATGGAGAAAAAGATCATACCTAAGAGCTATGGTTGTTTGAACTGACATTTTTTTTTGCAATTTCCAAACTGAAAAAGTCTAATATCAGTGGCAAATAATAACTAATAAATAAAATGCTGATTGTTTCATGGCAATTAAACTTAAGTAACTGCTAACTACCATAAATGGGGGAAAAGGTTTAGCTTTTATGGCAAGGGTTACATACTGAGAAATCCCTTCGTACACGGATGCAAAAGACCCACGGCCCAGGAGTTCACCCTTCTCCCAACCAGTAATAATACTTTTGAACCTTCCATTGGGGGATTTATCTTCCTCGTCAGAACATGAATGGACCATACGCAATCCAACTCTATCGTCCAGCCACGCTCTAGCGCCATTCTTCCCCAGATCATGGACCTCCGCCGCAAACTTCCCCCATGGCCTCCACCTCACTCCTCTGTAATGCCTCCCTTTCGGAACCTTCTGATTCACCCTCCGTAAGCGTTTTCCATTATTCCCTGCCAACAAAATAGCGCTCCCCCTCCCACTCTCCATAGAAATGCTTTCGATTCCCAAAGGCGCTTCGATTGGAGCCATCGGTTGAGCCAATCCTATGGCTTCCATACCGGGCTTGCCTTCAACATCGGCGACCGTAAGGTCTAAGGAAGACCATCCGCGAGTAAGCGGATTGCTGAGGAGTTGGAAAATGACCATATCCTCGGAATCATCTTCTTTTAACGGAAACTCAACCTCGTTGGCCGCCAGGCAAGGGATATAGCTGAGATGGAGCAAGCTGCATCCCGTCATGACTTGCAACATGATGAATAGGATCAAAAGAAGAACAAGAAGATTCATTACCTATTTTCACCAAAAAAAAAAAAAAGAACAAGAAGAAATGAAGAGACATTAATGGAGTCAACGGAGGCCATATCCAAAGGATGCACGGTTGGGGGCGAGAAGTAAATTACAAAGAAATAGTAATATTTTATGGAATTTTTTTTGTAGTCAAAGGATTCTGATTTAAAAAAAGCATATAGATATTACAAAGAACCAGTGAGTCAGTTATATGGGTCAAGTATTGCTATCTGTTCAGGTCATGATTTCAACCGAGGAAGCAGGTGTTCTTTGTAATACTGTGTTTCAAAGAAAGGTTTATTATTATTATTATTATTATTATTATTATTATTATTATTATTATTATTATTATTATTATATATAAAATAAAAAATACTTATTTCTATTAATAATTTCTTAATACTTAAATCAATTAAAAATTTTACCAACCACTGGTTAGTCCGAGTGGAAAAATTTCAATTCCTCTTAATTAAGGTCTCAAGTTCGAGTTTTTTAAATAGAGAATTGAAAGAGTTTTCTTCTTATATGAGTATCGAATACCAAGAGATTAATAAAAAAATCAATTAAAAATTTTTTGATTAAAAA